TGTGCGAACATCTAATATAAATTCCCTTTAAGATTTTTCCAAGTGCAGGAAATTATACTTAGTATTTCAAAATGGTAGAGGAAAGACCCCTTCCAGTTCTCTTTTCATTTGATTTACTACTTCCCCATAGCTTCTCACTTACATTTAGTGACGTGTAGGTCTGTACTTACACCCAAGTAAAAAAGCTTTAGTGTTTCTTTGTGACATTTCAGTCACATATGTGTAGTAGTAGAGAATAAAAGTCCACTCTTAGAAGGAAAAAGTCCTTCACATTAAAAGCATCACATACTAAAACATCAGTGGATTACAGTACATTTAAAATATTATAAGCCAATAATTTACCTTTTCATACTTTTTTCCCCTCTCAGAAAATTCTAATGTGTATTTAAGACTCCTGTCCTTCTAGACTTGGGCTATGCCTCTTGTTTTTAAGCAAGGACCAGCTCATTAACACTTTTTTCAGAATAATTAATCCAGAGGAAATGACACCTCTGGCATTAATCAGCTCCAAAAGACATAACAAGATTATGAGGAGGAGAGAGAGGAACACTTCAGAGATTGAAATGACTGATTTGGAAAATATCAACAACTTTTATTGATTGATTTTTTTATTGAAATCCTTGCAATAAATCCAATCTTCATTTTCAGCATTTCTATGTTCATTTGTTTAAATAATCACTATGACCTTTTCTAATCTACTAATTTAGGCCTCAATCCTGCAAAAATGTATGCATGTGTGTAACTTTACTATTATGAGTAGTTCCTTTGATTTCAATGGGGCTGTTCACAATAGTAAAGTTAACCACATACACAAGCGTTTGTAGGATTGGGGCTCATATGCGTAAAGTGCATACGTGTTGTAGGATAAGTATAAAATTAAAGAATTAAAATTAGCTTAAATTTGGTTAAGGAAATACATATGTGTTGTAAAGAAAGGCCCTGACTAGCAAGTAGAAGGAAGGCCTTGGAAATAATAAGTATTAAGGCCAGAAAAATAAAGTAGAGAGGATGTCTGGTGCAAAGAATAACTAAAGAGATAAGGGGAAGTTTCTGAAAAGAAGGCCTCTGACCGCTAGGTGTGACTGCAGATGGTTTTAAATCAAACTGAGAATCTGTCTTAAAATGAGCTAACACAGCCCTTCCCTAACCCACACACCAGTGTTACAACCTGTGTGAACCCAGGTGCAATGGGAAAACTGTTGGCTAGCAAGATGGAGCGGAAGAAAGGCCTTGGTAAAAAAAGAGGTTGTAAATCTTAGCTGGATTAAAACTGGAAATAAGGGTTAACTGTCTTCAGTTGTTTTTTAGCTGAAGTCAGTAACTGGCAATGACATCACTTCTTTGTTAAAGGGTATAAAAAGTAAACTCCTAAAGGGTTTATTGCTAATAACTGCCTGACCACCTTGGAGCTGACCAATATGGGTCTAAGCACCCCCGGGTTTAGCCTATTTGTAAGTATCTTGGTCAAATGCTTATAAATGTTTTGTTACTGTTGGGATGTAGTAAATTGCTTATTATTTAGGCATGTTTAGAGTAAGTGTATAAAGTACGATTTGGCCTTTGGATTTAATAAAGGAATTTATGGTTAAATTAGTGTTTTGGGGGTTTCCCATATCAATATAAATAATTTCAGGTATTATTACCAATTCCAACATGTTTGCAGAACCGAGGCCTTAGTTGCTGGTTCCAATTTGTGCTATGCCGGGAGTCAGTGATGGCCAGATCCACAAAGGAACTTAGCAACAGAGAGTCCTGTGGCACCTTTAAGACTAACAGATGTATTGGAGCATAAGCTTTCGTGGGTGAATGCATCCGACGAAGTGGGCATTCACCCACAAAAGCTTATGCTCCAATACATCTGTTAGTCTTAAAGGTGCCACAGGA